GTGCAGCCACTGCGGAAATCAGTCTGGCAGTTCCTCAAAGAGTTAAACACAGAGTTACCATGTGATTCAGCCAATTCCACTTCTACATATTACCCTGAAAAACTGAAGATGGGACTCAGGCAGATACCTGCATATCAGGGGTTAAGACTTCACACTCCCACTGCAGGGTGCATGGGTTCGATCCCTGAACAGGAAACTAAGATCCTGCATGCTGCAAGGCGAGGCCAAAAAAAAAAAAAAAAAAGGTGGTGTAGACATATAAAAGAAAATTATTTATCCATAAAAACGATGTTCTGATACATGGTATGATGTACATGAACCTTGAAAAAAATTATGCTGAGTGAAATAAGCCAGATAAAAAAGGACAATTTTTTTTTTTTTTTTTTTTGTGGTACGCGGGCCTCTCACTGTTGTGGCCACCCCGTTGCGGCTCCAGACGCACAGGCTCAGCGGCCATGGCTCATGGGCCTAGCCGCTCCGCGGCACGTGGGATCTTCCCGGACCAGGGCACGAACCCATGTCCCCTGCATCGGCAGGCGGACTCTCAACCACTGCGCCACCAGGGAAGCCCAGGACAAACTTTATATAATTCATTTATGTGAAATATCTACAATAAGTAAATTCATTGACATAGAGAGTAGATTAGGGAGTACTAGGAGTTGGGGGGTAGGAGAGCAGAGTGTTATTACTTCATGGCTACAGAATTTCTGTTTGAGTGATAAGTTTTGGAAATACAGTGATGATGGCTGCAAAACATTTTGACTGTAATTAATGTCACTGAATTGTACACTTAAAAAGTTCTGTAATGGCAAATTTTATGTCACATACATTTTACCACAATAAAAAAAATTGATGAAGCAAAATTTTTAAATTTTTTAAAAGAGAAACTTTAAAATTAGGAATTTTGAATAAACAAAATTTAAAAGAAAACACTAAGCTGAAAATTATTTGTCCCAGACACAAAGGATTAATACACAGAATTCCTGCAATTTGACAAACATACTAAAACCTTATTAGATAATAGACTGTAGAGACATAAACAGTCAATAAATAAGTAAAAAAACCTTCAACTGCAAAAACAAAATTTTAAATACAAATTACTATGGTTCGAATGTTTGTGTCCCTCCAAATTCCTATGTCAAAACCTACCGCCCTGGACTTCCCTGGTGGCACAGTGGCTAAGAGTCCGCCTGCTAATGCAGGGGACACGGGTTCAAGTCCTGGTCAGGGAAGATCCCACATGCCACAAAGCAGCTAAGCCCGTGAGCCACAAATACTGAAGCCAGCACACCTAGGGCCCGTGCTCCACAACAAGAGAAGGCACCACAACGAGAAGCCCACGCACCACAACAAAGAGTAGCCCCCACTCACCACAAACAGAGAAAGCCTGCGTGCAGCAACGAAGACCCAACACAGCCAGAAAAACAAAAACAAAAACCTAACCCCCCCAAGGTGATGGTGTGGGGAGGTGGGGCCTCTGGGAGGGGATTAGACCACCAGGGCAGAGCCCTCACGAATGGGACTGGTGCCCCTTCTGCCATGCGAGCAACAGCCTGTGACTCGTGAGAAGAAGGTCCTCACCCAACTAGCACTGATCTCAGACCTACAGCTCCCAGGACTGTGAGAAATAAATTTCTGTTGCTTATAAGCTCAGCTATCTAGTATTTTGTTATACAACAGCCCAAATGGGACAAAGACACATATCAAGCTGAGAACTTTTGCACCTATCAAACTGACAAGAATTTCTTCCTGCGTGTTGTTTCATGGACCCTCTGTTAGGGCAAACAGCGTTCCAGAGAGCCCCCGAGTGAGACTAAGCATTTAACATGTGCACTTACTGAACTTTTACAACAGCCAGAAGGGAAGCGCTCCTTTTAGAGGTGAGGACGCTGGGACTAACTGTGTAGCTGGCCCAAGATCACCACCCCTCCCGTCAGGGGCAGGGCTGGGGCTCTCCCCTTGGGCAGCGGGACCGCACAGCCTGGGTGCTGAAGCACGTGACACTCAGAACCCCCTTTAAAAATGCTCAGCAACCTCCACAACAGCCAAGGACACGTGTGGGCACTTGTGGGCACTTGTGCAGACAGTAGCTGTAGGAGTATAAACTAGCACAACCTTTCTGGAAAGTAATTTGACAACATATATAGCCCTAAAGATGGTTTTTCCTTAAATATAGTACAACCCTGATCCTAATGGAATATATAATACAGAATACTGTATCTTAAGATCAGAATCTAAAATAAAAATGACTATATTGTACACCTATAACTTATAAAACATGGGCTATAGGATAGTTACTAAAACTTATGTTCATGAAGAGTTTCAAGGCAATGACCAAATAATGATAAAATTATGACATCAGCAACTGGCCCATTAAAGGGGGTGTGAGCACCCGGTTAGGGGTGGACACGCCCACTGGGAGAGAAGCCTCAAGAAGGTTCACCACTAGGCCCCTGTTCCTGAAGGGCATGTGCCAAAAACTCACTAAACTGAATTTCTTCATAATGGGATTATGGGATTCTTTTCTTCCTTAGACCTTACATCTGAATTTTAAATGGAGAAATCTTATATAAAAACAAGTGTTTAGGGCTTCCCTGGTGGTGCAGTGGTTGAGAGTCCGCCTGCCGATGCAGGGGACACGGGTTTGTGTCCCGGTCTCGGAAGATCCCACATGCCGCAGAGCGGCTAGGCCCGTGAGCCATGGCCGCTGAGCCTGCACGTCCAGAGCCTGCGCTCCGCAACGGCAGAGGCCACAACAGTGACAGGCCCGCGTACCGCAAAAAAAACACAAAAAAACCAAGTGTTTAAAGGGAATCAACCTGAACTGCCATGGTAACGATGAAGTGCCCCCGCCATCGCCCCCTGAGGTCTGGGCCTGCCCTCTCTCTGAACTGCAACCAGGGTGGATTTGCCAGGTGGCTTCCCCAGGACCAGCAAGTACCCTGCTGTAAAGGCCCACTTCCCGGGGGGCCACATCTTTATCAGCCTGGCCCTGCTTTTCACTCCAGCTGGATGGATCCCAGGTGAGTTTGGGGAGAAGACCCCTTGCTGACCCAGCCCCTACAGAGCAGGAAGACCCGAGGCCCAGGTGTGGGGTACTAGTGGGGACCTTGGACAGAGCAGTTGCCAACTGCTTCCTTGAAACTCTCCTCACGCCAACCCAGGGGCCAGAGAAGTAGGAAGAGGCAGCGTGAGCAGGGCGAGAGGAGCCCTGGCCACAGCCCTGTCTCCAGGCACAGCTTCCCCAGATGCTCCAGACACTGCCTGGAGCCTTGGCCCAGGCCACTGGGACTCTACCAGCCATCTCCACCCGGGGCTCAATGAGAAGTCGCCTGTTCCACAGGCTCTGCCGATGCGACACCAGGGAGACGCCTGCCAGACAGCCACCTACCCTTGGAGCCGGCTACTGAGCTCCCACGGTAGGCTGCCCAGCCTGACCGCTTAAAACTGTCCCGGTCATTCTTATTATTTTTCAAAAGATCCACATCTTAACTATTCACCTATTTTATCAGTAGGAAACAAAATCTCAATTAGGAAAGTGCCAGGGGTCAGATGGTCTTGGCCATCCTTCCACTCAACATCTAATATGTCCCCACAGTGGGCAAGGGCTGGGGGCAAAACCAGGCTGGACGCTGCCAGGTTTATAATTTTTGGTGTGCACTGAAACACTATAAAGCATATCTTTCCTTAGTTATCCAAATGATTATAAAAATAAACTACAAATCCAATATTTGCTGTTCAAGTTCCAGGGACTGTTAAAAAAGCATGACCTACAACCAGTGTCAAGAAGGAAGCATCTCTGGTCAGCGTGCTCTCTGCTCGGCTCTGGCAAAGTGACCCATCTCTTCGTAAGGAGAGATTTTACACTGGGCGGCGGGGTTGGGGGGTGCGGGGGGAGGGGTGAGGCACAGGGCAGGGGGGATGAAAGGAAGTGGCGGGGGGTGGGAAGAACAGGAAGGAACGGGGGTCACTGGCACAGAGGGTCTCTGTCGCAAGCCGGGGACATGGAAGGCACATGACGTCCAAGTAAGGCTGCCTCCGGCAAGCGGGCAGGAGCAGAGGCGAAGATGGGCAGGAACAGAGGCCAAGACGCACCCCTCCACGTCCAGCAAGAACCCAATGACCTGACACTGGAAGAAGCAAGGTCCCCAAGAGACAAAACAGAGCGAGAGAAAGGCAAGAGGCTGGACAAGAGCCATGGCTAAGAGTTGAGAGGAAGTGGCAGGACAGGAGTGAGGACCTCAGGGCCAGGGCTGGACCTGCCGAGCTGGGGCTGAGGACGTGGGCCAGGTGCTGCCAGAAGCAGTTCTGGGAGGGCAGGGAAACCGGGGTCACAGCTGGAGTCAGCATGGGACAAGCCTCTGGACGGGGAGATGAAGGGCTGCAGAAAGAGTAGATGCGGAATCCAGAGGGCGGGGAGGCCACAGGAAGCCGCGGTGAGGAGAGGGTCCGAGCACCCAAAGGAAGTCTGGGCAACAGGGAGTGGGGCGTGGGGGCACATGCCCCAGAGAAACACTGGGGGGCCACTAGGCAAAGGGACTTGAGACCAATGGGAGGCACAGACTGGAGGGTCCCAAGAATAAAACCTGGAACACAGGTGTCCAGAGGGTTAGAAACACAGACGCAAACCCAGGCAGGAGAGCAAAGAGAAGACATGGATGAAAACACCCGCTATCTCCCAAGAGAGGTCGGAGAAAGCGGCCCGTCTGGACAAACGCGGCCAGGCAGAGAGAAGCCAAGGAAGAGCAGGAGCACAGACGCACGTCCTTTCCGGGCCGACCCTCACAGGCCTGGAAGGCTCGGACCTCAGAACGTCAGGAGACCAGAGCCCAGATGGGCTCCCCTTCACGGCCCTGCCCTGTGAGCCTCCGTGACAGCCGCCTCGGGCACCTGCTGGCCGCCTAGAGTCAGAGCCGCCTTGGGAGCAGAGGGAGAAGCCCGTAGCACACACATCAGCGTAAAGAATAATCTGGTAAGAAGTGGAGGTGTTCAATACTCACAGGAACAATAAGCCCTTGCCAAGTCAATAAATTAGCTTCATCAACCTGGATGTTACGGAAGTTTTTCATCCCACATTTGCGGATTTCTTCAAGCTCCTGTTGATTGACAAAGCATAAAGGGGTGTCAAATAGGGGAAAGCACCACACGTTAGATCCCTCCTGACTCCCTCAAATTAAACCAAGTGCCGACACCGCCACCAAGGCCATCTCAGAGCATGGCTGGATGCCCTGGCCTGGTTAAGAGGCCTGGAGCCGCAGTGGCCCCCTTGACCCGTACCCCAGGCCAAGACAAGCACCCACCTCGGTGAACCCACAGCCCCAGTGGACGATCCCCTCCCCTATGGGCTGTCCCCACGCAGCAGGGGCACAGGCCAGGTGCTGAAGACCTGACTCCTTCCAACCCAGATCTATGAAGCGCTGCCTCCGTGTAAAGGTGAATGGAACTGGGGAAGAGAAGCAAACAAACCCACAGTTTTCCACCCAACGCCGGAGTGCAGTTTCAGAAGGGCTCTCCCTCCACAGGGCACATGGCTGGGGCCCGACGACCCAGTCTGGGGCTGGAGGGGGGGTGGGGGAGGATGGAAACCTTCACTAAGCCTCGGTTTCCTCTGCTGCAAAAGGGCATTGAGACCCAAAGATGTAGACAAGGAGGGGGAACCATGCTATGTGCAAGAAAACGCCTTGCAAATATATGAGGGGTTGTTATCATACAAACGCCACTTCATCCAGAAAGCACGGCCGGCCAGGCGACATCAGGGCCCTTCCCGTCTCTAGCCTAGAATTGTCTGTCACTTGTTTTTCAACCCTGCACTAGCCTGACATTTCCCACCGCTTCCCCAACAACTCGAGTGACCGTCCAACAGGCGTTATGGCCCAAGCCACCCACTGCACAGCCACCCGCCCACCTGGGTCCCCCATGCTCCTCCATCCTCAGAGCCTAGAGTGAGGCGCTCCCCCACCACACCCCAACCCGGCTCTCGTCCACGACACAACAGCGTCCTCCACATCTCCTGGATGCCTCTCTCTCCAACCCCACAGCACCACCCAGCCCAGCCCTGCCTCCTCCGCAGGGCCCACAGGATGGCGTCCCACAGCCCAGGCTTCCTCCTCGCTGGTCTGGCCCCCGCAGCCCTCTAGAACCAGGAAGCCCCTTCATGTTTGGTGCCGTGGCGCAGGATGGCACGGAGGCTCTGAACCAGCCGCCCTATCTTCTGCGTGCCACATTCCCATCAAACGGCCAGTGTACAAGGCACCCTGGGGGATACGAGATAAGGAAGGAGAAGAGTCCCGAGAAAGAGGGCTGAGCCGATGTTACAGGTGTGCCTGGCACGGGGCAGGATAAGGAGGACAGCACGTCAAGTGACTGCACAGAGGAGACAGGTGGGACACGCTGCTGCTTGGTGGAAGGGGCCAGGCTGAGTCTCTTCCCACAGGGAAGACTGCTGCTTGCCAGCCCTAGCTGCCCACCACACTCGTCGGCCTGGGCCCCAGGCCCAGAAACTCTGGTCTAGCAGGTGTGGGGTGGAGAGAAATGGGGATTTTTAGCAAGCTGCACAGTGAGAGGATGAGTTCCATTTCTAAGCAATGCTCAGCTTCCACGAGGAAGATGCTAGTGGCCATGGCCCCAGCAGTGGGGGAAGGGGTGGCCTGGCCCCTCTTCCTGAGCCCGCAGGAGGGGAAGCATGGAACCTGAGAGACCACCCGACCTGCCAGCTGTCAGCTGGTCCTCCTACTAATGCCCAGGGCTCATCGGAAAGGCTCCCCTGGGGATTATGAAGCCTGGGCACATTAAGGAAGGGGAAGAAACAAATCTCACACCCACACTCCCACTCTGGTCCACTCCCCAAACAGAACCTAAGCTCCAAAAGAGGAGGCGCACGGCAGGGGTCAGGAAGCCCAGGAGCCCACCGTCACACACAAATACAATATCTGCTTAGTGATCCGGTGACTGATCAGATGGGAAGCAGGGGATTGGAGAGGGGTGAGGCCCTGGGGTAAACAGGGCTCTCTATGTGCTGGGACCTTCCGGCCCTCGGCTCAAGGCACTAGAGTAAGATTCTTGTCTAGAAACAGAAGAGACCATGTCCCGTAGCGCTGAGTCCTACCAAGCTAAAAAATGTTTAAACCAAATACAGATGGGAAAAAATTCCAGATAGAATTGTGAAATTAGACAGTCAAACAGGGACTTCCCTGGTGGTCCAGTGGTTAAGACTCCATGCTACCACTGCAGGGGGCACGGGTTCAATCCCTGCTCAAGAAAATCCTGCATCCCGCATGCCGCACAGCAAGGCCAAAAAATTAAAAAAAAAAAGAGTAAGAAAGAAGAAACAACAGAGAATATATTCAATATTCATAGGACAAAATAAATTTTAAAATAATCTATAAATATACTTTACAGCTTCAGAAATCCACACACTAACAACACGAGGTATGGGTAATAAACACAAGGAGGTACATTTCAAAGGAAATTACAAAAACGTGGCAGGTAGGACTGTCCACCGTAACTTGGCAGTGAGAAACTGAACCTTGCTCAAGAAACGGAGGAGTGGCGTGTTGGCAGGGGTGCAGGGCGGGCAACTATCATGCTCTGATATCAAGAGACACGGGAACAAAGACGGGAGCTGCTCGGTGCGAGGAGGACAGCAACCCTGCCCCCCGCCCTGCCCCCCACCACCCGCAGGAGAAGATGGTGATGCTGTGACAGCAGAGCTGGGAGGCTTGGGAAACCCGGAGCACGGTTACCGGGTAAGCTCAAGTCACCTCGCTGTCAAGTGACGCTCAGCAAAGATGACGAGGCAGGTGCCTTTGCATAGTTCTAAACAACAAGAAGTGGGTATAAGGCAGAAGTAAGAGAAACCAAGACAAACAAGCCGGCCATCCAGTCCTGTCATCTTCAGGGAATGCCAGGCAGCCAATGGGAGTTTCTCAACAGGGCAGCGCTGAGCCCTGCCCACTAGATGCCAGGCCTGTGACACAGCTCCACCCAGCTTCCCAACACCCTCCAGAGCCACAGCTGCTGAGAACCACTGACACTCTTGGGGGCCGGGACGCTGAAAGTCCTGAGATGCACAAGACAGTCCCGCAGACATGAACTGATCAGCCCGAAATGCCAATCACGCCTCCACCGAGAACAAGCTGAAGACCGACTCAAGTCATTCAGAGAAGAGACGGGGGTTCCCCTGGTGGCACAGTGGTTAAAAGTCCGCCTGCCAATGCAGGGGGCACGGGTTCGAACCCTAGTCTGGGAAGATCCCACATGCTGTGGAGCAACTGAGCCCGTGCGCCACAACTACTGTGCCTGTGCTCTAGAGCCCGTGTGAGCCACAACTACTGAAGCCCGCACGCCTAGAGCCTATGCTCTGCGACAAGAGAAGCCACCACAATGAGAAGCCCGCGGACCACAACCAAGAGAAAGCCCACGTGCAGCAACAAAGACCTAATGCAGCCAAAACTAAATAAATTAAACAAATAAATTTATAGGAAAAAAAAAAGAGACGGGTTCATCTGAAGGCCTAACAAACCCTCCAGCGTGACTGCAGCCTGTAACTGAAGATGAAGAACGGGGGGAGGAATGGCAAGGAGACCACATCGATTCAGAGTTGGAACGTCCGACGGATGGTGGGAGAAAGAGGGGTCCAGCTCCAGAACGGAGTTGGGAAGACCAAAGCCAAGAACCACAGGGACTGACAAAACACGCCCCACAAAGGTCTGCGTCAGTTCTGCGAGAGCAGTTGGTCGGCTGCTTCAGGCAGATGGGACGATGCTGACAGGCCGAGAGAGACACCGGGGAAGGAGAACCAGACACTCACACGTCCCCCTCCTGGTGGGGAGCAGGCTTCCTGGGCAGGGTGAGTAGCGAGGGAGAGAGAGAGGGCTGCACTCCTCAAAGCCCAGAGGGAGAACTTGGCGTGTCGGCAACACTCTAGGCCAAAGCGTGGCATCGGGCACAAGCGACCACTGCCCGACAGCCCCACGGACACCAGCAGGGGGCACGGTCCGGCCCCAGCAGGAGACTTGCTGGTCCCCGAGCAGAGACAGGGAGCAGGACACATTATACACAGCACGCCCTCGTCTCACAATGCAGTGTACACATCTGAGCTGGGGAAGAATTAACCAAGTCTCTGTTTCTTTCCTTCTTTGATATTCGACTGTTTACAGTCTCCCTGGGTAATCCTCACACACTGAGAAGCCCTCAGGAGCCAGTGGTTCCTAATCAGTGTAAGGCCATGGTCCTCTTTAAGAAATCCAGACATACTATGTGTAAAACAGATAACCAACAAGGACCTATTGTATAACACAGGGAACTATACTCAGTATTTTATAAAAACATATAAGAGAGGGCTTCCCTGGTGGCGCAGTGGTTGAGAGTCCGCCTGCCAATGCAGGGGACATGGGTTCGTGCCCCAGTCCGGGAAGATCCCACGTGCTGCGGAGCGGCTAGGCCCATGAGCCATGGCTGCTGAGCCTGCACGTCCAGAGACTGTGCTCCGCAACGGGAGAGGCCACAACAGTGAGAGGCCCGCGGAACCCAAAAAAAAAAAAAAAAAAAAAAAAGAGAGAGAAAAGAAGTTGGAAAAGAACATATATATGTGTATATATATAACTGCATCACTGTGCTGTACACCTGAAACACAACACGGTAAATCAACCATACTTCAACAACAAAAAAGAAAAATGAAATCCAGACAGATGTACAAAGGAAAAATCAGCGGTCTGAGTCATGGCTGCTTCAGATGTTAAATCAATGCTATGGACGGCAAGTGTCAAGGTAGGGGGCCGCTGGTACAGTTTTTAAAAAAGGCATATTTAAAAAACAAAAGGCATATTTAATATCATGGTGTAATTTCCTATTTGCTAAATGGAAAAAAGCACAATGCGCCCCTAAAGAACTACAGAAAGTAAAGCTGAAGGTCTTCCTGGCTGTTGAGGCTGGGTTAAGAGAGCGGAGCTGCTCTGGGGACCTGCGGGGGTGTGGGGGGCGCCTACAGCAGAGGCCAACAGCTTCACGGGAGAGGCTGACACCAGCCCTGAGGGAGGGGGAGGATGGACCCTGGGGTGAAGAGAATAGGTGTCCCCGTGGGAGACGCAGGCAGAGC